CAGCCATGTTTTAATAAAAAAAGCAGCACAGGATTGAGAAGCTAATGTAGGAGAGCCTCAATCACCTGCCAGAGATCAAGCAGGTCTTGTCAGGAAAGGGGAGGGCGGTGACAAAAAGACTCGCTTATCTGCAAAGCAGCCGTCAAAACAAAACCCTCCAATAACATTTTGTGTTGATTAAGATTGGAAGATCAAATTGCTGTTGATCCTGTAAAATGTCCAGAAATATTGTTGGGACTAGCTGAAGAATGTTTGCTTACCTAATTAATTAATAACATAGCAATTCTTTCTCGGACTCCTATTCTTCAAGATAAACTTGGTGGAAATGGCTCGTTCTCAAATTGTGAACGAAAGGCAGCGTTTCCAAGCTTTAGAATTATTTTATGCCTTAATAACACTTACAGGCTGACATGTAATTAGGTTTTTCTGGACAGCTTCAAATGTAACCTACAGATAATGGGGGGGGGGAATCCATAGCTAATAGTAATATTTGTAATTAGCTTGTATACTACAATAGCACCAGAAGAATATTGGTCAAATCGCCAACAAGAAGAAAAAAGGCAGAGAGACAGACTAAATGTTTACAAAGTCGCCTTCCTAAAATCCAAATTTGATATGCAGGAAATGAGGAGCAGTCAAGGACAGACAACCGTCAACGCAATTCAAGAGATGCTAAAGGGAGAACAGAGGGTTCACTTCAGGTAAGTTTTGTCTCTTTACTGATACACAAATGAAACATGCTTAGCTGCATGGCAACATATGTTGTGTTTTTGTCCCTGCATCAGTCTTAGTTGGCTTTACTATGGTTTCATTCATGTTTTTAATTTGCCCACTTCCCAAAAGGTTCAGAAGAATATTTTAGAATACAGCTAATTCTTGACTTACGACCACAGTTGAGTCCAGAATTTGTGTTGGTAAGTGAGTGTTGCTCCCTTTTATTATTTTTCTTGCCACAGTTGTTAAGCAAACCTTGTCAGAAAGTGGCAAAAGGGGATCACCTGACCCTGGGAGACATTGTAACCATCATAAATATGAGTCGGTTGCCAAGTGTCCAAATTTTGATCACGTGGCCACGGGGATGTTGCCAATGATTGTAAATGTGAAAAATGGTCACTTTTTTCAGTGCTGTTTGTAACTTTGAACAGTGACTGAATGAAACTGTTGTAAGTCGAGAACTACCTGTTTGGGCGCAGGGGATCAGTTTAAGTCCTACAGATTCAGATAAAGTCAGCACATAATTTATTTTAAAGATATTTTTTCATGCTCACGTTGAACAAAATAATAGCTAACTTATATAATGTATATTTGTATATAACGCACAATATATTAAGCCAGTAACTTAACTATAAAATGCTACCTCACAATATTCAAATTGCCTGCCTCTTAACTAATGTATTTTTCCCAGAGTCTACTTCAGTTGGAGAAGGAAAAAAACTGTTATTATTATTCTTTTTTAAGTCCTCTCTGGCAGCTCTCGGTGGGTGCTCCCTATTGTCCCAAGGGCTATGCTTTATATAACTGTAACTTATTTCAGATCAGAATTGACTGCAATAATGAAAGGAGTGTCCACACTAAAACCTTACAGAATACCTCCAGCGAAGGTAGCCGGCTGCGGACGGGTAAGGATCGTAACCCGAAGAAAGAAAAACCGGACAGCGGAGAAAGTCAGCAACCGTTGGTGAATGGCGTGCCCTAAACTGCATAGCTTGAGAAGTCGTATTTCCTAAACTGTTCCAGTAAATCTTATTCCACATTAGAGAAACTTGTTAGGCCAAAGACAAATAGTAGGCAAGAGGGCGCAGGGCATGAAATATATTAAAAAAAGAAAAAAAAGTTCTGTTAGCCTTTTTTTAACATCAGCAGTATGCAGTTTTTTTTTCAAAATAAGACATTATACTTGCATTAAAATACCTTGAACTTCTGAAAAACAAAATGCTTTCAAGTACATTTTGCACTTCAAACAATGAATGAATTCCTTTTGTTTGTTTTAAAAATACTGAACTGTGCATTGGTATTTCTGTTCAGTTGTACCATTTTAACGCATCTGGTCAAAATCACTGCTAAACTTCAATTTTCAGAATAAATAGTGTTTGCGGTAATCAAATTGGGCTTCTGTTTTCAATCTATTAAAACCTCCTCATTTAAAATAAATAAAACAAATTGAAGCTATGCTTTTACGTCCTGTGTCAATTCACACTTTTTGGTTCACTTTTTTTCAGTATTTTAGTGAACCCGGATTCTCTATGTAAAGTAACTAAATTGTCATTTTCATTAGCAAAAAAGTTGTATGGTATGTGCCTTTTTTATATCTTGGCAGGTAGGAATATTCTCTTTGGAAGCAGAAATCAGGGAAGATGAGTTGGAAATGCTGAACTCTTGTTACGTTCAGGTGCTAGGCCTGCTCAGGGTGCAGGAACCCTCCTAGGAGCTTGACTCCCAAGTCTTCACAGGTACCTGCCCCACCTTTGAAGCACCCAGTTTCTTTGGGTTGAGCAGGGAGGCCTGAATTGGGTTCCTAGTAGCCTGAAGGTTTCACCTCACCTGGAAGAGCCCATGGGTTCCCCACCTGTACCTTCTTCAGGCAGAACATCTGAATAGGACTTAAATGTATAATATATATGTAGCAAAACCTCTCCAACAGTTAATACTTTATTAGAAGAATGCATGCTTTCCATAATTTTTTCTTGCATCAACATCATTAGGCTGTTTATAAGATAGAAACCTATTTTGCACTGAAGATAATGGCAGATCATGTTACTGAAGTGATGGCTTTTTTTCCCATTTGTTTGTTTATTTTCCCCTCTTTTTAGTCAGGACAGGGATTTGGGTGTTTTTTGTCTTTGTTTTTTTTTTTAAATGCATACTCCCTATTGTGACAATACAGTTAATGGTTGCCGAGGGAACAAACCAGAACTTGTTCATAATGTGTGTCAGCTCTGTGGCCAGAGGACCAATTTAAAAGATTTTGTTGTTGTTGTTGTTGTTCACTTCCCCTACAGTTTTGATATTTAGATTTGAGCCCTATCTCAGATGGGATAGGAAGATGATTGTGTTTTACGCGATTCTTTGTAAAATTCAGGGATATACTGTAGTTTGACAGCATTGGATATAGATCAGTTTTTAAGGTCTCATTCACAAATAGTTTAAAAACTTGTAATTGAAGTTGGTGTAAGGTTTAGTTGTCCATAATTGGGGATGAGGCATGCTTTCTATTTCTGATCATGAATGAAATTTACATGCAAAATAAACTCAGTGGGACATTCATTTTAAGCTATTCTGTTTTTTATTAAAATTACTCCAGTGGGAGTGTTGCTGATTGTGTACAGAATTGTACAAACTGCAGCCCCAGTCTGTGTTGGGTTTTTGTTTGTTTGTTTCTGTGCTTTTTCATTTAATCTTTTTTTTTCCTTTGCGTACAAGCAAGCATATAAAAATGGCAACAAACTGCACACAACTTAACGAATATTAAAAAAAAAGTCTTAAATATTGCCAAACATTAAATGTTGATTTCTAATTATTTATTTTTGGGGGAATGTATAGTATTTGAAAACTGAAATTGGTACCTTGCACACATCATCTGTAATCTGTTTGGTTTAAAATACTGTAGATAATTAACCAAGGTAGAATGACCTTGTAATGTAACTGCTCTTGGGCAATATTCTCTGTACATATTAGCTACAACAGATTGGATTTTATGTTGACATTTGTTTGGTTATAGTGCAATATATTTTGTATGCAAGCAGTTTCAATAAAGTTGGATCTTCCTCTGCTAATGGATGTTGATGCAATCTTTATAAATGATTGCTTTAAACAAATCAACTTAAAGCAGGAACCTGTTTTTTCTGTGTTGAAATTGGAAACATTGTTTATTCCAGAAGTGTGAAAACTGAAATATTTTCAATTTCAAGAACAGGCTGGTAACATGCTATTACTGGTCAAAACGTACATGTTTGCTATTATATGCACTAATTTTACACTCGAGGCTGACTTCAGTAAGGTGCTAACTAGATTTGACTTAACTAAAACTGTTAACAGATTAATCACCATTTTCAAATGACATTTTGCAGTATTTTTGTGCTTTAAATGTGTATCCCTTTCAATTTAAAAAAATTCACTGTTTTTAAGTATTGGTACATTTTAAAAACAAATTGTAAATCCAAATGTAAGACTCATTTTGAGAATCATGCGTGTTTCAAAGGTTTGAAAGTGCAGCAAATGTCTGATGTTTGGGCTCACTTCCTTAATGGCAACTTCACATATGGTCTAATAAATTACAATTATTTTGAAAACAAAAAAATAAAAGTTTTTTTTAAAGATTGAAAGATATCTTTGAATGGCCACAACATTCAAGTAAAGTACAATTAGACACCTCTCTTTTCCAGGCAGACAATTGAATTGTTTCCTTTTCACTAGCACTAGGGAAAAGATAATTGTGAGTGGGGGAAAGGAGGGGTTCCATATTGTGATTGTGCTAATTTGTTCAAGGTGGAGCACGATCATAGTTATACATTGTGCTGGTGACTGTTAATTTCTAGTAGACTCTACTACTAACAGTGGATATAAATAGTATCTTTAGCCATTTCCAATTCCGCTAAGCATCACCCAACAGATACAAAGCCTTCCTTTAATAGTGGCTTAGCACTGTTTGAATGATGCTATAAGATGACCCCAGTGAAGAAGTGGCATCTATCTACGTCTCCTTGTTTATAATTTTTGCAGTCTTGAAAGGCCGTAGAGAAGAAATCCATGCAGATTCAGGGTCTTCACATTTAAGAATCTCCTATTAGGAAGGCAAGGGAACTTTGACTGACCCCCTGAATGGTTTGTTATACTTGACATTTCAAGGGGAATTTTTTAAATTGCCATTCTGTTGTGTGTCCATAGTGATTCTCAATCATCCAGATCATGATTGTCCCAAAGGTGCTTTTCTCAAAGACAACTGGTCTTTCTGGTGTTTTTTTTTTTTTTTTTTTTTTTTTTGAAACAACCACGGAAGTCCAGTTGGCCTTTTGGAAAAACATCTTTGGGACAACCACTCATTTGTAGTACCTCTTTAGAATATTCCAGTTGTTTCTTTTAGTTTGTACTTCTTTTCCCTCGTATTTACATTGTCCTCTGCAGGCTGAATGTCCAATTGGTATTTCCTTCCAGAATGAAGAGTACTAATCCTACGGGACCAAACAATTTCCCTTGCAGCTCTCCCTAACAAATTGTCTTCCACGTATGCACCTACAATTTCCAATCAGTCAGAAATTGTGCTCTGACCCATTCAGAACTGTGCCCCATCTTGTCCCAAGACCGCCCATGACAACCCAACACTTTTAGCCCCTCCTTCTCAGTGAGTAAGTCACAATAGAGATCCCCATAGTGATGGATCCTCCACAGCTTCCCTATGCATCTCTGTTGGGCATGTGATTACAAAGATTGCAAAAAAAAAAAAAAAATGTGGATTGAAGTGAATCTGAAGGAATAGAGCAGGTTACTCCACGGTAGACAACAGTATTTATATTAATGGTGTTGGTTTTTTAAACGGTGATCTTCAAAATCTTGAATTAAGGTAGGCCTTTGTTTTTCATTTCACTGTTATTTTTGCACCTTGGAGAATACAGGACAGTCATAATTGATGAGTGCCAAAGTCCTCACCGCAAGTTTAATATGACCTGGTATTACAACCCTGTCTGTAGGAATTGTAGAACTTTTAAGTTGCCTACTCAAGGCTGTATATTGTTGGGGAATTGATAGGTTGGCTTCCATCATTCTATTAAAGCAGCATCCATAACCATAGTCCGGGTTTTCTGCCTGGATGTAAGCATGGGATTGTTCCTTTTTTTCATTTCCAGGAAAACAAGTCATAATTGGGACCTTTAGCCTCTTTCTCAGCTTCCAATTATTTTTCTACATTCTTTTTTTTTCTTCAAGTTCTTTGCATCCTTTCCTATTTCCCATCCTGCCTTTCTGACAACTCCACCATTTGATTTGCCACCGACAATGGTAACGGGCATATCCTGGCCACAGTTAAAATCTCAAGAGCTACAATCATGAGCTGTCTGCTATGTGGTGCATCAATCTGTAGCTATTGCAGAAGAAACCTTGATCCCAATTTCTAAGGGTATTTCCAGAAAAATCGCCAGTTACTCATCAAATTTAAAAATGGGTTTAACCTCAGAGAGGCCTGATTCTGGCTTTGCTCTCTGACATAACCAGCTCAAGCTACTCTTTGCAAGTCCTTTAGTTACCTTAACCTTCCAAAATAACTTTACACCATTGCGGCTAAATGAAATTTTACCTAAATATTTTTCAATATCTAGTCTTGATTGGCTGTGAGAAACCTGTAGGGATTCGCAGTATGGGCTTAGAAAAGGGTCTAAGTTTTATTCCAAAAATACGTGATTTAGAATGCTAAAGAGACCATTTCAATAACCAAGAACTGTACCAATATTTTGTCCAACACACAAAAGAGCCTTTACATTAGCCAGACTCTGTCTTAATCTTCAAGTGTTCTGGAAAGGTTCAGCGGCACACCAATACACTATCCCTTGAAGGAAGTTGAATTAATAGCTTTTCCCCATTTCTTTCCCCTTTTATTCAAATTGTCATAACTTAATTATTCTCTTAACAGTCAGTCAAAAGTGCTGATCTTGCTCTCCCTTTCCTAACAAACACTTCATAAATGACCTCCAGGAAGTGGCCGCATTCTGCTCAATTGCCATCTCTGTTCACCGCAAGATGGTTTAAGTTTCCCTTGTTTAGAATCTTACCCTCCTTCCAAGTAGAATGCTAAAACCATTATTTTATGATTTAATAATATTAAGTAACAATCTGTGATAGCTTACTTTTTCATTCATTCATTCATGTCTCTTACTAGGCTTATTACTTAAGTAGCTTAACATTGGAATCACTACGGAATTAAAATGTAAATATCTCATTCCTTTTAGTAACTAGCAACTTATTTAATAGTTTTAGATGGCATTATTTATTTACTGGGTTTGTTTATATTTTTGCTAGATTAAGAAGGCTACCCAACTCAATCTGTCATAGAACAGAAAAACAAGAAATTGATTGTTTGGATCAAGAATCGCAGTTCCTTTGTGGTACTAAAAATCTAACTCCTATTGACTTTTGTATCTCCTAATGCGTATTTATGGGCTTGGGGGTGGGATGGGGGTGTTTTCCTGTCGTTTCAGGAATGATACCAATAATGAGGTTTGTGCTCCAGCTTTTAGCCAAATATTTGTGCGTATTATTTCATGCAGTCAATCCAAGTGAGTATTACAAAGAGACTTTGTAAGCATACCTTAGTGAAGAATTTGGTCCCCCGTTGCTTCCCTGAACCCTCTCCGTCTACGAGGCCCCCAATTTAATCCCGGAGTCCTTCAGCAGAGCTGGAATTTTGCAGAACTGCTGAAAAATAAGGATCTGTGTCCACTACCCTAAATGTAAACAAATTGCATCGGTGCATTGTGCGCCAACATAGTTAAATTGTGGCTCAGAGGCATGAGAGAGATCTTGAACAGGTTTCCATTCCATGTATTGACCCTTCCCTGTTCTGATTAACTTTGTCCACAACTTTAAAAAAAAATCACACAACAGGTTTTCTATCTGTGTGGCAGGGGTTATGTCTCAAAAGTTTTGATGGTGATTGCAACCATATGATTGGTCACATGGCTCTGGCTGCCATCTTAACTTTTTTTGACCCCTGCATAAATGCAGATTTCCTTCTAGCCAAGTCCTTAAGAGTGGTCAAAGCAAACTTGAAACAGATCTAAAATCAATATTTCTGTGTGCCTTTCCAAATCCCATATTCAGGATTGCGATTTATATCAAACCTCATATCAACCATACTATCATAGAATTGGTGCTTACAGTAATTTGAATGTGCTGCAAAGGCTGGATTCCAATCTACTAATACTTTACACCATGGTTTTCACAATAGGTTCAAGCCATGCAAAAAGCTAAACACACTACATAAGGACTTGCATGTGAACTTCATGTCCTTGTTTTGTTTGTGTCTTTAGTCAAGTGAGCAAAAAATGGAAACCTTGATGGCTAAAGTCACTAGATATTAGATAATGCCTAAAGGCCCAGCTTAAATGCAAATAGGACTCTCAAAAGTATGATGTTAGACAAATTAGCCACCTTGAACACACTTCGCAATTTCTTGAACTTCCCCAACTCCAATTCTTCAGGTTTTTCATTGCCAGCGCTAGAAGTTCGAAATGAATCTTACATGGTTCCTAGTGAGCCAAGGACAAAAGCAGAAATCATATCTCAAAAGGTGGAAAACTTCTTCAATCCTGTGAGTAAGTGCACCTTGGAGATTGCCTTAATGTTACTCATTCGCCAAACTGTTGGGTTTGTTACTCTGAAACATACGCAGAAAAACACACAGAGACCCTCTGTGTATAGAGAATGAATCCAGGTTTCAGAGCAGAAAATAAATGAGACCGATCCATCAGAATTTGCTCTACTCCTTACTCCTTCCTAGCCCGATCTCTTGGTCTCTGTCTGTTGAAATGAAAGCACCTCTCCCTGAATGCCAATCTCCTTGGATACTCAATAATTTGAAATGTGTTATGGAGCCGGGCTAAAGATTGGCCTTGCTTCCTTCTTCCCAGCCAACTTGCTTAAGACTGCTGAGAAGATAACCCCTTGACAATGAAGGGATAACTCTGAAAAGGGAACATCCACGGTGGTTAAAAAAAAAAAAAAACACAATAGAAGGCAACCAATGAATGACTCTTCCCCGTGGGATGTTCCGACTGAGAATGAATTCAGATCTCATTCTGCTAAAATGTTGGCAACTGAAATTATTTGAGCAAGCAATGGATGGCTTTGCCAAGTGAGAATTAATTCAGCCTTCCCTGTAGAGATAGAACTATACAGCTGCGGTTCTTTGACGTCCAGTTATCAGGGCACAAAATTACACAAATGGTTCCTTCACTTCTTGGGTGGGGTGCCTAAAGGAAGCAGCAGATTCCAACTTGCTGCTTAGGAATTATAGTTTAAAGTTTGCTTTGTATCTTCTAACCATGTCATGGGTGTTCTTCTCCATGGCATTCTGCTACTCCCAACTCAGCTTGTTCAAGGATATATTTTCCAAAACACGTCCTTAACTATTCCAGTTTTGCTCCATTCTCTCCCATGTAAACCTTATTGAGGAATAATTCTCAACACATTTTTGAGGAAATATGGGTTTACGGGAGGCTAATATGTACAGTAACTTGAATCATATTGCCTGGATTGGATGTGAGAGAGATTCAAATCTTAGAACTTCCGTTGTCTTTCTGAAAGCATGCTGGCCCAGAGGAAATCAGAAAGCCGTGGCTTGCAAAGTTGGAGAGCACATCAACCAGACGTTGTGCCTAGAACACAAATGTTGTGTGTCTTCCAGAAAATTTATTCAGTTAGACTGCTATACTCCATTTGAAGACCGTAAGTGGCATTTTGTCTCATGTATCTTCTTTATCCACTTTATATCCTCTAGGGATAGCTGAGTCATATATTCAAATGATGGTTTAAAGAAGGACTTACAAATCCAAGTGTTATACTGATAGCTTTAATGAATTTCAAGTATAGAACGTCTTGCATAGTTACAGGACAAATACTTGTATGCAACAGGTATTATATTTTGTCCCTGGACCCGACAGATTACATCCCAGAGTTCTGAAAGAGCTGGCAGATGTTATCTCAGAACCATTGCACCATATCGTTCACAAATCCTGGAGCACCGGGGAAGTACCCGAGGATTGGGAAAGGGCTGGTGTGGTCCCCATCTTCAAGAAGGGGGGGAAAGGACCCAGGAAACTACAGACCAATCAGTTTAACATCAATACCTGTGAAGATCCTAGAAAAGATCATCAAAATACAGATCTACGAACAACTAGAAGCAACCCAAGTCATAACTAGCAGCCAGCACGGGTTTGTGAAAAACAGATCATGCCAAACCAATCTGAGATCTTCTATATCAGGCGTGTCCAACCTTGGTCTTCTACCTCATGGTGCCTGACCTTGGCCAATTTAAGACCTCTGGACTTCAACTCCCAGAATCCCAAAATGCTGACTCTGTAAACCGGTTAGAGAGGGCTGTAAAACAGTGAAGCAGTATATAAGTCTAAGTGCTATTGCTATTTTGTGACAAGGTGCTTATTTTTAAAGGGTAAGACCTCTCCAACTTGTCTAAAGTTTACAATTTCAGCTATAGATTAGATGCCAGACATGCTTATGTTGACCACAATAGGTCCTCAACGGATTTTGAGAATATTTGCCGTTGGCACTGGAGGAATGTTGGCTGTTGTCTGTCTTCCATTTTGCTGTTTCATAGTAGAGAGAAGGTAAGAAAAGGAGGTAAGAGGTATAAGTTAAAACTTTCCAAAACTTTTCAACAGTCCCAAAAGCCATGAATGAAAGAAAGAAGGTTGTGCATGCAGGCCTTTCCAGATTCATCCTTGGATGGATAACCACAATTGTCTAATTCAATAGAATTACAGAACAAAATGGAACAGTTTTTCCACTAGAATAGAAAAAACATTATCTATCTTACCTCCAAGAGACTCCTAGTACTCAAATGGTAAGCTTTGTAATGGTTGATCAATCTTGGCAATTTTAAGACTTGTGGACTTCAATTCCCAGAATTCCCCAGCCAGCATGCTGGGTATAGAATTCCAGGAGTTGACATCCACAAGTCTTAAAGTTGCCAAAGTGGGAGAGAAGCCAAGTCCTGCTTTGGAAACAAAAGATCTGAGGTTCATTTCCAACCTGTTGGAAAAAATACCCTTTGGACTTCCTTGTAAAGAGTCAGCCATTCTTCCCTCACCCAGTGTCCTCCCGACTGACTGGGAACCACATCCTGCAAAGCTTATGTCTTTGTTCTTGATGGTGTTGCAGCCCGTGTGCCAATCCTTTGCGCCGAGCCCCCAAAGAAGACAACACTGAAGAAGGAAGTGAGGACAGTGAGGAGAGCAGCGATAGCTAATCTGCAGAATAAATTCAAAACTACGTTGAGGGAATGTATGAAAGATAACTAAATGTTCCTCATGATATGCCTGAACTGTGTGGAATTATTGATGGTTTCTGGAGATGGGGATGTCTACTTTCCAGAGCTGAAGCAATAAGAGTGTGGTGATCCTAAGCACAACAATACCAAATGAAGGTGCAGCAGGGTATAATCACACCTACTCTGCCTTTTCTCTCTCCCTCTTTCCCCTCTTGTTCCCTCCTGTCTTTTCTTCCCATGGAATTTTCCTCCTTGATCACTTGTTACCAAGTGTCTGGAGCATATTGGTGACATTCCTGTACATAGCTCTTACATGGTAGATCAAAGCCAGTCTAACTCAAAAAACATTTGGAAGTCTACGGAGATTGGTTTGAAGGAGGGGTCAAAGAGGCTATCCATGTCAAATTGAACAGCCCTCTCTCAACAGAGGGGTAGGGATACAACATCATCTATCTCCAGTCAACAACACAGTCCTTTCCACAGGTCCAAGAAGGCACCACACCCATTTGCACTACTCAGGTGATCCTGAGGACACAGATAAACCACCAAATGGCCTCAATGACTCTCTAAAAGAACACAAATGACCAGCTGTCTGCAAGGAGTATAAATCCTTCCATTCCCCACCATCCAGTCAGAGCTGAAGAAGCTTCTTGAGTGAGAAGCGAAACATCTTCAAAGAAAAACCAGAAAGTCCAGTTGCCTCATGAAACGTGGAAGTCACACATAATTCCATAAAGGTAGACTTTGCATTACTGTGTTGCAGGACCCATTTTGTGACGACCTTCCATCTCTTTCCTACACATGCGGATGACTAACTAATTTATTGTCAACAGAAAGATATAAACATCCCAAATCAGGGATAGGATAACACACAAAACATTTGTGACTATTCATTAATCTTATTTAAACCAAATTGAGTTACATTAAACGGCGTACTGCTTTTAACATGCATCGCAGGTAAAATATAACAAAACATAAGAACTTGAGAATAAATCAATTTTGTACTGACAGGATGATAATTGGTTTATTGTTGAAATGTTGCATTTGGGTACTTTTTTAACCTACCGTACTGTATGTTGAAGATTAAAAATCAAGTATAAATATGAAAACAGACCAAGAAAACATTCAGGGAAGAAGAAAGATAGACAAACCAAGTTTATAGGTTGGACAGGCCTAAAATTTAGGCTCAAAAGTGGTATTCAGACAGTACATTAATCATAATGTGGTTTATTTGGCTGAATATACTGTGGTCCATGATTCGAGGTTTGTGATCTTTGAAGCCCACTAGTTGCAGGAGCTTTTAGAAGCAATCATGACATCATAAATGTGCAAACTCCCTAATTTTTATAAATTTGTACTTAAGGTGCCATGACACAAAATAGTTGGGGTTTTCCAAACACTTCTGTGAATTTGGGAACTTTTCAAAATTTTAATTTCAGAGCCACAAGGTGGTGGTATAAGCAAATCAACTTCGTCTCCTTGAAAAGCAGTGAATGCAGATGGGCTTCTGAGCTTTTCAGTTTTGAAATGATTCTTTTTCTTTAAGATTTTGGTATGTCTATAGCTAAAAAGGGCTGTGTGTGCGGCAAACTCAGATTCTTAAATAGTACGTGATGGGCTACAATGGCAAATTGTAATCACTTGTGTTGTTGAGAAATGGGCTAACAGAAGCAATAAAAACGATCAGGGGTCTGGAGGCAAAAACCCTGTGATGAAAGGTTAACGGAACTAGGTATGTTTAGCCTAAAGAGAAGGCATGGGGGTGAGATGACAGCTGTCTTTCAGGGTTCAGGGGCTGTCACAAAGAAGGAGTTGTTGACCTATTCTGCAAAACACCCGAGGACAGGTCAAGAAGCAATGGATGGAGGTTCATCAAAGAGAGAAGCCACCTAGAAACTAAGGAGAAACTTCCTGCCAGTGAGAACAAGTAATCAGTGGAACAGCTTGCCACCAGAACTTATGGGTTCTCCATCACTGGAGGTTTTTAAAAAGAGATTGGACAAACATTTGTTCAGGGTAGAAAAAGGACTTCTGCCTTGGGTGTGGGAATGGACTAGAAGACCCCCGAGTTCCTTTCCAGCTTTATGATTCTATGAAGCCCAACCAGAACATGCCAACTCTGCCAGATTGGACCAGCTGGGCATATACTATGGGCTACAGGCAGTTTGTTGCTGCCATACATAGTTGATTTATCAAAGATAAGAGTTCGATGTGGTTAAAACGGGAGGCACCCTGAGAATGTATTTCCTATTTTAATTTTACAGTCTAAAATAAATGCATAATTCTATTGCTCATTTGAAGTAGCTCAACAGCAGCCACACAAATCAGGTATGTCTGTGTTGCGTTGGTTCACTTATCTGACTTAGGGGAGAGCTGAGATAATTATAACAACCTTACCTGAATCCTAAGTGAGGATGATAGGATTGGGCAGATGGTTAGTTTAGCAGCTATTAGTACAGGCTGCTGTGAGACAAGCTCTGAGCTCCACTCTGGTTGACTTTGTCCATGTTGCTTTCTTGGCAGGAGTAGAGAGGTGTTTTTCCATGGCTTTCTTCCTAGATCCTTCCCCCTCCTCCCCAATTTGGCAGTCTAGTCTTCAGCCATAAGATTCCCTGATGTTCTTCAAGCACTACGCAGGTCCAGCCCTGCTTAACTTCTGATCCCACACAATGTGAGCTACTGACACCTGCTGAAAATTAGCCACAACGTCTCATACAGAAGATAGAATAATAGGGTTGGAAGGGATATTGGGGGTCTTCTAGCCCAACCCCCTGACAGGAGATCCAATACCACTCTGGACTTTCTTTGGGCTTGATGGAATGGATACATGTGATCATTGAAAGAATAACAGAATAACATGGTTGGAAGACCCCCCTCCCGAGGTCCCTCAATCCAACCCCTCGCCCAAGCAGGAGACCCTAGATCAGGGGTCCCCAACCTTGGCAACTTTAAGACTTGTGGACTTCAACTCCCATCATTCTGGGAGTTGAAGTCCACAAGTCTTAAAGTTGCCTAGATCATGTCAGATAAATGGCTGTCCAATCTCTTCTTAAAAACCATCCAGTCATGGAGCACCCCCTAATTCTGGAGACAAGCTGTTCCACTGGTTAATTGTTCTCACTGTCAGGAAATTTCTCCTTAGTAAAGGAGAGATGTATGTATATGAATGAAACATATGTGTTTGAATGAAATGAAATTTACCTATGTAAAGTTCTAATTCAGATCACCTTATAGTTGACTGCCATTCCCACCACCTTATCTATTGAAATGTTTTCAGAAAGAAATGCCCTCCTCCAGTATTGATTGACTTCCATAGACCCAACGATTTGCACCTCTGCCCTCTAGCTGGTAGTCTTTCTAAGAATGGGGTCTCTGAAGCACCAGTAGATAGTGGACTATTCCAGGTTGGGAGCCAATTGAAGCCAGGAACAAGCAAAAGCCTTGTTCCTTCTGAGAGAGCTTTGTGTTATGGACATCCAAGAGAAGAGTTTAAGAATGGCGGAAGTCTACCAAAGCATTGTGCCCTAATATCTGATGCAGAATTCTCCTACTTGATGGAAGAGAGAAATAGGAATAGGACTGCGAAATACCCCTCTCCCTTCTCTAACTCACCTTTGGCATTCATCATACCCTCCCATCTTGAGGAAATTGGGGTCCTGACACAGCTCCTAAGTAAAAACAATATATCTTTCTAGAAGTGGTACATCTAAAGAACAGACTTAAGCCCACGGTAAATCTCTACTCCATATCTGGGCCATTGACTGTGATGCTTCAGTGACTCATTATTCACACATATCTCTGGTTTGAGGAGAAGATATGAGCTCCACGTTCAGAATTTTATTTAATGAAGCTTAAAGCGACTCCTTTGTCTTAGCTAAAGAAAATAAAACCCTAATTTAAGGGGAGCATTAGCCACGTGGTAGCTTTACCATCCAAAGTTCAACCTTCTTCTGCTTCTCTGTTCTTTGCTGGCCATGTTGTCCTGCCATTTGTCCCTCTGCTGAGCTGTATCAAGATGATATATCTAGCTTGAGAGAAGAACGTCATTTCTTGGTGCAGCAGGAACTTAGTAGCAAAACAGCATGGGAATTAGATTGGGGAGAAATCTTGAGATCTTCTGTGGAGGTTTAGAATAGAATAACAGAATTGGAAGGGATCTTGGAGGTCCTCTAATCCAACCATACAGTATATAGGTATGTTTTACATGGGTATGTGTGTCTTAAAGGCCATATGTTGAAACAGTGACTTACTGAGCAGGGAAAAATGGGAGGGCGAAGAAAAGATGTTCTCATGAGGTAGGGTGGAAGTAGAAACCCCATCAAAGAAACATATGTGTTTCATTTTTTCAACGCTCTGAAATACGATAGGATGAAAAAAAATGGGCAACTTCTTTACAGATTAATGACAATTGCTCCATGTTTGTGGTCATATTTGATTAGTTTCAGAGCTGCAGTTTGATTAAAGAAAACAAACGACATTTCTTGGATTTATTCTGTGGTTTGGTGAGCGCATCCATTATCTATACTTTGTAGGAGACAGAAACTACATTTGAACAAGTAGAGTTCCTTGGATTTTTTTAAAATTAATATGTTCATGTTGGGTAGGTTTTATCTTACCCATGTCGTATCCTGTGTGATGCAGTTATTTCTGTAAGATGTAGGAGGATATTGTCTTCTAGCTCATATATTCAAACTTGAGTTTAACAGATGTATTTCAAAAAGGGTGTCCTTTATTCACAACTGTCCATTAAATACAAAACTACATCATGTACATCTCTTTACTATTTCCACCATGAGGTAAATTACCTAAACTTGCATCATTTGAAGAGTGAAATTATTTAGAAATGGAGCACAGGTACAATTAAGATAAAATAGCAAGAATTTAACTGCCTCCTCTGTAGTAGTTCCCATGTAACAGATTTGTCTGTTATTCTGGGGCAATGTCTCGATGGTTGTTTTGTCCATTGTATAAGTAGGTGTCAATTACTAAATTGTGTTTTTACTATATTATCTAATTTTGTCTTGGAAATTTCATATTAGACCCTTTCAAGAAAGGTCAAATGTTTAGCCTTTTTTGAAATCCTACTAGATCAGAGGTCCCCAACCTTTTGGGCACCAAGGACCAGTTCCGCGGAGAAAGTTTTTTTCCACAGACCGGAGGATGCGTGGTTTTGTGTGCTGCCTGCATCCCGCGGATGGGGCTTTGCTTCTTTGTGTGGACCGGTT